AACAATTCGTTTAAAATATACCAGTGGAACATTTCATTTGGTGCTAGGAACTACAACTCAAAGTACATCTAAGCATTTAATCATGGAGAATTCTACATGAAACCTATAATGTACATACGTCCATAGATATATATACTGTATAATATCGATATGCAACACAAATACACTTCTACACATCTTAACCAGAGGTTACATCCTCATGTGTTTTTCGTGGACTTTTTATTCCCTTTTGAAACCAATGGAACGGCATCCCCCATTATAGTCTATATAGTAGTGCATGAACAAAATATTTATATTTAAATACTTGCATAATGGTTCAGAGCTTATTAACAAGAAAATAAAAATAGATATTCTTTTTATTGGCGAGATGCAGTTGTTTTGCGAATTTGTACTAACCTGTCAGACTGTTTGCGGCTTTTATAAAACAGAATACAGGTTTGACTCGATTCTTCTTTCCGCCCTATATTATCGGACATACAGCTCTTCATTAAAGGCAAGCTTCTTAAAAATGCTGTTCTATGTGATTTTTTCTTGGCACATTCTAAGTAATACAAAATGCATCCTCATTTAAAATTATGGTAGGTATTTTTTATCGGTAGGTATTGCCCAACCCACTTTCTGCTTTCCTCTTATTATTTAAACTATGCTTAAAATATGACCAAGTAAATAAAAAGTAAACCCTAACGACGTTTTTGTCAACCAACAGAATGCCTTCGTATTTCCTACGTTATGGTTGTAATGGCAGTTAAGAGCACCTCGTCATCTAAAAATATGAATGCGTGCTTACAGATATACGGAAAAAGTCGTGTTTAAAACTTTAATAATGAGCTCAGGGGTTGTTTTATTGTGACGCAGTACCTGTAGGTTTATCTGCTTTATTGTTCGTTGTTTTTTCCTGAATGTTTTCCTGAATGTTAAAGGTTTTTGAAAACCTAATAAAATGTAATCGCCCTAAATATTATTTTGTACATTGTACATTTTTGTTTCAGGTTTGTAGCCAAGATGCATAAGTATAAACAATATCTCGTCAGACTCTTCTCTTTTTGTAATGAAAAAGTTATTATTATGGCAAACGGATTACTGGCGATACCTTTTAAACCAAAATACTGAATGTTGAAGATGCATTTTTTTCCCGCTTTGACCACTACACTAAAAAATAGAATGATAAAACTAGAATGATGCTCACCGAGATCGGTACAGTATATCTATATACTTTAGTCTAAACCACCTCTAATAAGAACAAAATAAACAGCTTGTAGTAACAATGTCCGAAGTTAGTTGTTTTTTAGGGGGGGGGGGGGGGGGATTCGGAGCAGGGTAATAATTTTAGAAATCATTATTCCTCTAGATACAAAAAAACGCTTTTCAATCGTGAAAGCGTGTTACCATTCATTAGCTTCTCTATCTCCATTATTTCCTCTTGGACGCTATTTTACTGCATTGCCATGTTGGTTTATTGTGGTTTCAACGTTAAAAGTAAATAAAGCTAAAGCAAGGCATCTTAGTAATGTTTGTTAATTAATTACTAGGCTACAAAGACATATCAGATATGTTTTTGTCAATATAAATACATGTCTTTTACAGTGTAGCTTGTGTTGTATTTATATTATCTGGGCTCTACCTGCGGGGGAAAATACTTTTAAACTAAGATGTTATCGAGAGCAATAAACAGGTATAACAAATAGCACTTTCTAAAATGGAAAAGTCCAGAAAATTTGCATGTGTCTCTGCGTGTTTGAATCCAGTCCCAACTGCCATTTTCATGCCTATAATTTTTTTTAAAAAAACGCTTGTTAGCGAAGTTTGTGCTTTAAAAAAAAACTTGGCCACAGTTCTTTTACAGTTCTTTACAGTTCTTTACAGGACTTGGTAACTAAATAAGGAAAGCGAAACCGTTTAAAGGATGAGACACTACAGGTGATGACTGCAGCAGAGAATGGCAGAGAATTCAGCACTATCTTTAACATTTACCATACATTGAGGGAAACTGCACATCGCATCTTCCCCGGGTGCGACACAAAACCTGTTGAAGTGGTTAACTGTGAATTGTGATCAGAAAGACGTCATTGCACAGATTATAATAAAATGTAAACGATAGCTACTTGCAAGTGCAGGGAAATTTCATTTCTAACTCCGATTTTTTACAATTCCGCAAAGCGAGTAACGACCACGTTTGAAAGAGAAACAAAATACAACAAAACACAAAGTTTATTTTTTTTTAATATAAATGAGATCATCACTGGACAAGAACCAATTTCTACCCATCACCATAACAACTTGTCTATAGAACAGAAAAAAAAATCATATAGGATGCTATCTAAAGTCAAGCGTTTTCACCCACTCACAGAGGTATAGTCACAGATAAATAACCCAAACTACTTGCTCACCATATTTACAAATTCCCATTAAATTAAGCATAAATAAATATATACAAACATGAACACTAACTCCCCCCCACCCCACCCTACCCAATATGTTTACTCCAAGGAGATCCAAAATGACAGATATTGAATATCACTGTAGGTCAATAAATTGATACTGACATTTATTAAAGTAATATATTCCGGTATAACGTAAAGGGTTTGTTTCAAAATTGCATGTTTGAGAATGTTGACACGCTTATGCATTTTTTCCCAGTCCAGTATATTCCACAATGCAACAAGCCGAGACAGAAATAATCGTTTTTTTTATTTTGGAGATTGGATTTTATTTGTAAAGGTAATAATAACATATAATAGCTGACTCATTTTATTTCAGTAGTTTCTATTTAAACAACAGCCTGCCTTTTCAGAACAAATATCAGAACTTAATCTGCTTTGTCTTCTAGGTCGGCTGAATTTAAGGAAGTCAAAATGGAACACGATAGGGATAAATGCAAAACCATAACTTTCAATAGACATATAAAGTCACAAACTGATTATACCTCCATGTTTAAAATTAATTGCACATGAAATACCCTGTTATCGAAACGCTTAAGAGACCGAGACAAGGAAAAGTTTGACTTATTCGTCAGTAGTTTTGTATGTGCTCGTGCAGCCTAAGCTAAATTCGGAAAGGATTTCCTTACATCTCTGTAAACCGTTTAATTAATTTCTATTTCTTGATTAAGCCCACACCCACGCTTGAAGGCTTTGGTGACTGGGTATGAAACAAAATGTAAATGATTGCCTTCGACTTATCAGAAAAAAGTGAAAAAATGACAATATTGCACTAAACCTGTGACACTTAATTGGATTATTACGTTTTACTATGATTGTTTTGGTGGGAGTTCCTAGTGTAGGCTATTAATGGATTATTCTCGTGATCGTAAGTCCGCACTGGAAAGAGAACATTGTGTGAATTTTACTTTTAGCCATATATATATATAAAAGATCAGTTAATTAATCCTTTAGTGATCTCGGTTATATAATAATAATACGTTAACTGCCAGGTTTATAAATCAAGTAAAACTAGATGCTAATACAAGGACAATTTAGATATCCGGACTTAAATTGATAAAGTAAATTGTAAATGGAGTAAATAATTATTTTGTAACCCTTAGCCAACTGGAAAATTACCAGTAATGTAACTTCCTTACTATTCGTTTCTTACCCATAGTTTTTGTTGGAGTATGTATTTGCTGATCAATTGTTTTCAGCTAGAAGTAGGAAGTAAAGGTCTTGTATTCTATATTTGTCATTTGTATCACCACCTACCTAAATGTTGCGCTTTGTGAATTAATAAATCTATCTGGGTTTCGTTTAGATACACATCCAGCAAAGGAGACTATAATACAAATAAATATATTTTTGACCTTTTAGACGGAGTATGTCTATTAGTCCCACATAAACAATTTTTACTCTAAACTCATTAGCGATAACCTGTTACACTCTCTGTATTTGTTTAAAAATAAAAAAGTCCCGCTGTTGTAACACAACTATTGTGCAGGATTTTTTTTCCAAAACCAGCTTCACAGGGAGCGAAGGTTACACGATCACATAAGTTATGGATGGTGTGTTTAAAGCCGCAAAGGCATTTTGAATTGTAGAAGAAATGAACAATGCTAAAATATTGTCTGCCTTCAAGCAATAATGTGATGAAAACCGTGTGAAGGTAATCTTCAAATCGCTACCGATTGTGAAACTCCTCCCATACTTATTGGCACGTTTTAACAGTTTTTTTATATGGGTCTTTTATACTTATGAGTTGTCTTTGATAAATTATACTTGCAGAGTTCCACTTGGGACGCTGTGAATTGTCGCACAATTATGCCAAGATGCACTTTATCTTGCAACTCACAACTGTTGCATTACGGACTAAGGATTTAAAATACTGTTCGTAAACAGTATAATTGGCCACTCAGCACAGATATGCTACAGGTGTTATTAAATATTGTCGTTCCATGGACGACATGCGAGCCTAAACGTGGATCTTGTTCTTGGAATTTGTTTAATATTTGCGGTTTCCCTTTTTGTTTCCTAACAGAGTAACTCATATCAGACTTTGGAGACACTATTTATGGATTGATTAACATCTAAACTCCACTGACTTGGTGAACTGTAAGTGAAAATTTTGGCAACGAACCAAGGCATCATCGGTATGGTGCCAGTATCAGACGTATTCCAGTAAATATAGTATCACATATATGTCTGTGCACACACAAATTATGACAAAAAAAAGGTGTCATACCCCTAAGCACAAAACCCTGTATCCAACAGGAGTCTTGAACAGGTGACAAATCCACACGTGGTTCGACAGGAAAAGTGGGGTAGGCCTTCAGAAACGTGGCAGGGATAGAAAGTCTGAAATTAAATATTTCCATCTTCAGAAATGTAATGGGCAAAACTGCACGAAGAATGGGCTTATTGAATCCCAGGAAAAAATAACATATATATTTATATATATATTGGCACATCCCCTTAGGAGTGCTTGAATCATGGACTTAGAGTTTGTACTTAAAACTTAGGTGAAAAAAATCCTTTGCTATGAATTCTGACCCAGTGTGGTTTACTTGTGCGCCTCTTTGCTTTTCTTCCTTTGCGTCTTCCTTGATAGTGTTCCTTTCCATCGTAAATGCAATATTTTAAAGCTAGAATATAAAGGATTTGGATTTGTTTTTATTTCCTGTGCTTTTCCTCTTTATCTCCAGTTTTGGAGCCAGGTCCCTCGCCTGATGTGTGCCTGTTTGTGTTGTTGTTGTTTAAGAACATCTTGTCCAGTCCTTTCAGTGCCTCCGTCAGGTAGTTTTGGAGCGCCGTGAGGGCAGCGCAGATGGCTGGAGACCCAAAGCCATGAGTGATGAGGCTAAAATGAGACAAACAGCTTTGGATGCCTGGTTCCAGAATGGGGGATGGTCTGCTGTTGCCCAGGGGCGTCCTGTCCTGAGCCAGGAGGTCTGTGAATTCCTTACAAAGTTGCCTGAGAAAGAATAAAATGAAAATAATTACCCTGTCAGATAACACAAATCAAATACACACAAGCCTACTTCAAATACTACCTTAATTTGACATTGGAAACACTGGGAAGGGAAACGAATACAAATATTTTTGTTCCACGGAGTTCATTGCTTAAATCTCAAAATTAACCATTTATATCAAGTGAAACCTCTGCATCCACTATACATTAGATTGATAAACAGAGCAGGCGCAAACGATCACATATATCAGGGGGTTGTTTGTTAATGTGACCGTTGCTTGAAACCTGCATACTGTAGGTATATCCAACAGATCATCAACCTTCACCAGCAATCGTTCCAGGGTACTTGTTAGCCTTTCCTGTGTATATTTTTTGTGCACCTCTGGACTTTTTAGTCTCACATTTAATTAGTTAATTGTATTGACAAAGAGCTGTATATAGATCCTGGCATAGACACCTCATGCATATTGATAGTTTCCTGGTTTTGGTCCCCCCCTTACATTAAATGGACTAAAGGCTTTAAGGGGGGAAAGGAAAGGGTCTATAAAACGTGTCTAAAAAACTACTTTAGCGCAGCGCTGAACTGTGATTGTAAAGTGGGCAAGGGACTTAAATAACCACTCAACCTAGAACCTTCAAAAGCAAAACAGAGGATCTGCAAACAATTAAAGGCCAAAGACATTAATATATTTTGACCCGGCGGAAAAGGGTAATCAAATTCATATCACGTTTACAAAACATCTAGACAAATTTGAGCAAATGATTTTCACTCCGTCATAGATTTCCTTTAATTACGTTGTCAGTAACGATATTCGTATTTCAGAGAAAGTCATACATTATGAGGTTGTTGCTGTTTTAGGTGTATATTGCAAAAATGTAAACTCTCCATTGTGTAGAGTTCACTTTATGCTCTCAGCCTACTAATATAAACACGTACACTCTTCAGAAAGGTATAGTTGTAAGCTATAAAAGGAAATATTTGACGGGAAACAAAAACCTTCTTGTGTGCGTTTATTAACTGCTTCATAAACACAAGTTTAGCAATCGTAACATCTCCGGCGATAAACTAATTTCGCTTATTTTCAACAACTAGAACTCTTCCGCACATTAAAAACAAATAAACTTTGCGTTTCCTATCCTAAGGCAAAAGCCTGAATTTGCAACTGTAAGGAATAGTGACTGCTCTGCTGTTATGAACTGGATCCGTGCGTAAGGGGAACATGGTACAATGAAGTGAAAACATTTTAACTTTAGATCTAAGTGAAATAAGACTCAAGTAAGGCTCTCGCAGTAGTCTAATAAATACAGTATATATTTTTGCTGGTCCGATCGAAAATAATGAAAATTAAGAAATAAATGGGAAAGATAACAGTCTCCTTTAATCAAGTAGTATATATTTTAGATTAAATATTGCAGGCCTTTATAGGAACAGAATAGGCGATTTGCAAATAGTGCTTGCGCCAGTTTTTGTGCACACCAGATCAAAAACGCCAGCAGCTGCTACCGAAGGTTCTTTGCTTTCTATTTTCTATTTCTTCACAGGAGGCAGTTGACCCAGGCATGATGAAACAAATAAGCAATAAACTTACTTTGTTGCTAGTAGCATGTTTTTTCGTGAATGGAGCTCATTGGGGTCCGCGTGCTGTCTATTTAAATACTCCGAGATAGCTTTAGCTGGGAATTCAGTTTCGCAAATATAGCCAAAATCCCGGGCTAAATGGACTGCTTCGCCTGAAAATTAAGTGGGTGACAGACAGAAAACAACGTTATTACTAGTGTTAATAACAACCACAATATCCACAACGACACGACGACACAACGTATCGAAGACTTGTGTTCCTTTTCTTGTCCCGAGAAAAATATTTTTATTTGTACCAATTAGACGATGCCATATATTGGTGAAATTGATTCATGTTCTATCATTAGAGTTTTTAGAATTAAAATTAAGTTATATCTCAAAGTCAAAACCTCAGATGTCACATACAGTATGTATCTGCCTATAAACTTTAAAGGCACGCTCTTGCAGCTGTAAAAAAATGTTTTTTTCCACCTTAAAAGTTTTTTGGGGGCTTTTATTTCATTTCAATAAATGGACAATAAGAGGTTACAATTTGATTTTTAAAATTAAAATTATTTTTAAAAGTATTGGGTTAAAGTCGGTCGACAATGGTGAACTGAAATATATTCCACTACTGAATCGCTGAATCTGTTTAATATAGTCTTAAATGACTGAATACTACTGTACGTCTTCGTTGTGATTGTACAAACCTATTATAATTTCCTAGACTATAAATGCATGGCCTAATAACTTTACATCACCTCTAGATCGGTCAAACGTTTTAGTCCATGGAATGTAGAGAAGAGGTTAGTTATGGCTCCCATCCCCTCAGTACATACACAGTTACTTTACTTTGGTTTGTCAATCTGTACAAAGCATTTGAGCTATAGAATAAAAATTACTATATGCTGCCATATAAAATCTGAGTTATCTCACCATAGTGGTTAAAATAGTAATGACTAACGCGGCAAAATATCTCCGACTTGCCCTGCCCTCCTACACTCCCTCTCCCTCACACGCGTTTTTTCTCTTTTAGGTGTGGCTAGAAAATGAAGGTAAAAGTACCGTGCTTGCAAATTAACCTCTTTTTACTGAGCAAGAAATCTATCCACTGGATATTAGAGCTGAATGTTCTTCTGAGCGTAGAATAATTTTGTAAACGTGTCTGTCCATTTAGGCCATCGCAAACAAAACTCATCATTGCAGGTGGAGTTGTTGCTGCTACCGCTGTTGTTTGTTGTTAATAATAATGCTCAATCGTTCTCTTTAAAAAAATCTGAAAACGAGCGATGTGCTTGTTAAATCCAATGAATTAATTTACTCGGTTTAAATTAAAAATGTAAAGCCGTGGCAGTAATTATTGTAATGATAGCTGCCACTTCACTGACATGCTTGGTTTAGGTTTCTACCCTCAAGAGGTTCGTGTCAACAGACTCCCACTGACGTACTTTTAAACCTCAGAAATAAGACACAGTAGCTAGAGAAAGACCAGCTCAGGGGGGATTCCAGTAGATTATGCCTTGGTCCCTATGGAATAAAGCATTAGAACTAAAAAAAAAACGCTTGAAAGCTCTGCCACGGTGACATGGGAAAATATCTAGCACACAAACACCGACGTTATATGGAATTATACAAGAAATATATTTTTTTAATTAAATCAGTGTAATTTTTAAAACTCGCTAAGTTGTGCTGAATGTGGGAGAAAAATGGAACTGAAGCCTAGGTGATTATAGCCTGGCATTAAAAATAAAAAGTAAAACTAAAACTGCCAATAACGGCATAACAGTCGCAGGTAACCCGTTTATTAGTACAGTAAATAAAGAATAGCCAACTACCCCATCATTAATTTTGACGTTTTTTAGAAAATTATGTCCTTTGCGTTTCGTCAATTTACTGATATACATTATTATTACGTTATTATTGTTATGTTATTATTGTTATATGATTAAATATTACATATTAGGCTATACATTTAAATACAGTTAATACACTTTAGGATGTACAGTTAATAGACTTTTGGATGAAACATAAATCCAACTCAAATAAAGTACGATAAGTACATTCGAAAAAACCCTTATTTTTTCTTGTCATTTTAAAGTAATTACTGTTTTATCCTATAGGCCTTACTTCTAATTAAAGATTACGATTTCGAAAAATAATCAGAAAGTATTTTTATTTTTTTATGTAGCTTTTCTACTTTTTATCCTCCTTATTGGCGTTTCCAGTCCTCGCCATCCACTATGAGTGTTTATAACGTGTTGCAGCAGCATCCGGCCTTCATGCACTCTCAGACTTTGGGATTTGGGGACCATCTTTCGATGCATAAATGTGACACCTCATTTGACGCCTCGTAAAAAAGGTAGCTGGTGAAATCTATGGCCCTCTTTGCTTCTTTTCAAATTAATTGATTTATGTTTGCTTACCTTCTACTAGTGAGGTCAGCAAAGTGACATTTGCGGCCTTGCGCCTACCCGCTGGCAAATTCAACCCGATTTTTTCTAGTTTTTCTCTCAAGGATCTCCCACCGTTTTTTGATTTTGCTCTGAAATGACAAAAGACAAAAACACCATTATGATTAGCACGAGAACAAAGTCGAGCGGTCGCTTTGACAATCACGTTCTGTGTTGTCTGACGAAGCATTTACATTGGTTCCAACTTTTACAACTCGGCACTTCTCAGGGCGTCTCTGAAGCATTTTGCCCAAAGGTAAAACGGTGGTGTTGCCCCAGGCTTGAGCCCACAACCTTCTAGGTTAGAAGTTCACTAACCGTGTTAGTACTATGCTAAATCAAAAAACGAATAATAATAATAATAATAATAATAATAATAATAATAATAATAATAATCACATGAATCTTGTTATTTTATAAGACGTATATGCCCAAATGATTTACACATTGTGGTTGATCTCCTACTGTTTATTATATCTTTCCTGTGGGCCAATATGGTTAGATTGTTTCAATAGAAAACTGTGTGTTTTGCTTTGAAACAATGGAAAACACTGAGCCATTTAATTTAGTAATGTACGACCCAAAGCGGATTTAAGGGTAGAAATAGTTTTCTTATGGCCTGGATATCATTATCCTTAGTTCTGGTATTTAACGGAGAATAATCGTATAGCTGGGCTGCCCTATGATTTTGTTAAAACAACATTCAAGACTAAATCTATAATGGACGCAAAGAGGTAAATAGAAGCTGGTAAGAGAATGACGTCCAAACTGACTTACCTTCTGAGAACACCGCCCAAAAGAGAGGCATTGAGACATTCTGGTGGAGAGAGGCGCCTTTGAACTTCGCCGACTGTAACTTTATATTTAGAAGTGGAGCTGAGAAGGGACAAACGACCAGGTACTGAACAAAACACCTCGTTTGTGTTAACAGCAATGCCACCAATCAAGCCATCTTTGCTCATCATCAAAGAGGTCACACTCTTAGGAGGGACAGGAACTGAAAATTAAAAAGCAAAAAAAAATATTATGATAGTGAAAAGGAAAAGTAATCCCTGACGTAATGTCAGTGGGCATATCATTTGATTTTTTCGTGTTCATGAAATGTAGCACAAGGAAAAAAGCAAGTTTTTAGAATATATTTTTTGTTATTAAATATGTTCATTTTTATTTGTCCTTTTCAAAATAGCTGTCAATTGTAGTAACACCTTTCCTGTTAAAACTGTTTTCCATTCCCCTGAACGAGTAACCGCTTAATTTCTATTAGTCATAAAAGTGACGTGGCTAGTGCACCTTTTTATTCGGATATATAACAAAATATTGTATAGACACACCATAAGTAAATAGCAATGATCTTACATTAAATGTCAAACTCTACGGAACAGTAAAACGTATTTTGTCTTCTTAAATGAAAAACGTATATTTCTTTGTATTGTTTCTCCATAAATTATTTACTTCTTATTTCATTGTTTCTTTTCAGATATAAAGAGATATTGTATAATTAATTGCAAATCGTATGCCAGTGTTATAAGGCGCCGTACTGAGCCCTGACAGCATTAGTGAGCTGCATATAGTTTACTATGAGAGGCCAAAAAGGTTTTATATGGCGATCAATGATTAAATGTTTACAGTATCATAACCACAATATAGCATTGTCTTTTATTAAAACGTGATTTTTTTAAAATATCGTTAGTGTCGTAGATGTATTAACAGGTGTGCTTTCTTTAAAAAGTCCTGGTATCTGTCACAATTCTCGTTCCCGTGATTTACAGAGACTTTCCTTGGTCAATAGGATACCAAGGCTTCCCAACATGCACAAACACAGCTTAAAAAAACTCTTAACCAGATATTAGTCAGATATATTATTGTGATGCGATTGCTAGGCCTATACTTATAATGGCTATAGCGGCATACTAACTCTGTTGTGGCCTGGCCCTAGTTTTTCATTCCCTATCTTTAGGTGTGGCAAAAAAGAAAATAGAGAGAAAACAAAGTCGTAAAGCAGACATATCCCGACTCGTTTAAGACATAAGCTCAAGTTGCATCAAATGCATTATGAAACTTTCTTCTAAGGTTGATTTTACTTTTACTGTGTATTCATGTGCTTAGAAATGTGTGCATTTTCCTCCCCATCATCATCTTTATTTCCGTGCAGGTAAATAGTATTTTCTGAATGCAGTGGACATTGACAAAATGTGTAAATGTACGTTGAAATCTAAGTGAAATATTAAGACTGACGACTGGAAATTTGTCTGCACCTAAATAAAAAACGAAGAGTTTGAGACAAATTAGTAATTTATATAGGATACAGTATGTGTCACAACAATAATATGACTAACTCTTTTCCTTCTCTCTATACGCAGCATATAATTTTATTTGATGAGTTAAATTGTGTATAAGTTTAGGATACGTTTGGTGCAATGTTTAATAGATACCGTCGATGCTTAATAGGCAGGTGACACCTTTGCAACAGGCTGCTCGGAGTTTTTTTTTTCTTGTGGGTCGCACAGTGCGCTCCCAATCATGATTTTCTTTCCGCGTTTATTGTTACATGTAAACTACTCTACATAATCCCCACAGATGGGTTATATTTGTAGGGTAAATAGTGAATTTAAGTCTTCAGAATTAAATAAGAATAGTAAAAAGATATTGATTTGCATGTATGTCTCTACGTGTAGAAAACATGTCCCTTCTATAGTATATATATGAGCAACGGTTTTACGGTTTTGTATTTACAATAGTCATCATATGCATTTATATATTCATTACATTTTTAATACTGTCGGGTAGAGCACAACTCTCCACTGGATTCCACGTAGGGACTTCTGAATTTAAAGAATGTTGTTAGTCACCCTGGCAATAAAACAACCAATTGTACATCACTAACAACTCTGTTGGAAAGCAAATCACTCTTCCTACTCCCGAATATGAAAGGGTGGAATTACGACTGGAAAGGATAAAAGCTGTATTTATGTTGAAAACAAGGGTTACCAGTGGCATTGACCTAAAGCAGGCCATCTCCCTCTTGCCCTCTATCTTCACACCATGTTATTTTTGTTTGTTTCTCTGACTTATGTTCAGAGATCTAGTCAAAAACGTTCGGATTATTTCCTGCTTTCAGGAAAGAGAATAAGGTTTGAGCAACCAATTGCTCAGTACAATAATGTATTCTTATAAGTATTACACATTATACCCTCTTCAGACACAACGAATTTTATTTTTAAAAATTAGATATTAGTGATCGACGCCAGCACCTGCTCTTTTGAAAGCCCCTGCACGTTTAAGTTAATTCTATAAGTCACGGTGAAGAACTGTATATTTTAAATGTTTCTGTGCTAACACAGTCAAGAAATATTTATGGTGTAGCATATGCTTATTTGTGTTCCCCTTACACCCCGAGGATACTCTTGGAGAAATCGGAAGGCTACCGGTACGTTTCCATTCCCCAATGCAACTATACAATCATCCAGTTTTATTTTTACTTATTTATTTGTATACACATAGATCCCTGCTAATCTGTTTTATGTATTTAATCTGAAATCAAATCATTCAGGGCCAAATAACTTTATATTTTTTGTCTTTATGCTTTAGACAAAAAATAAATACCAGAATGACTTCTTAGTGTCTAAATGGGTTTTTAGACCGCTAATGTAGCACAACATTCTCATTATTACATTATTGATTGTTGATTGACTTGCGCCTTCAAATCGTATTAACCACCCTCTGTCAATCTATATTAGTGGAGTTTAAAAAGGCCTACCATTATCATCACACTGGAGTTCAAGCGGTATTTCTTAATGTTTGCTCTAATGGGGCAACGAGAAGACAGAGGCCATGGTCCCTGACTATTGTATTAATAGCTCAACGGGGGCTAATACAGAAAATTAGCCTTAAACGAGCTCTGGAGATCTCCACATGAAAAAGTCATTTATCACGCTGGCTACTTTAACTCGACTCGTTTGCTCTCTCTACTGGGACCAACTCATTTTCCCTTAACTAAATTACTTTAGAAATGTCAACCAGTCCTTACAAACATTAACAAGGGGCTTGTAGGGCGAAATGATTTCTAATTATTCCGGTCTTAAAACAAAAAAGGGGTCCAACTGAATATATATATGATCAGTATAGTGATTTCTTGATGCATTCATGCGAGTGGTTCATTAACAGGGAAGGTATATACTGTACGAAAACATACACTTTGCCATATACTCCTTACTCCACTACCTGACATTTAGACAGGTCTACCCCGGTATATGTGTATATGACATACTGTATACTAGGGTAGTCGTTATACTGAGAGCGTATGTGGTCAAACAATGCCATACTGTACCTTCATCAGTATAATAGGGCCTATCAAAATAAAAACCTTAATAAACAATAGCAAGAACAATAATAGCAGCGAACATACAGTAAATAAACATTTAATAGTAGTTATTTTACTAACAGTTCATTAAAGCTCACAAAATCTCAAGCTTAACCAGTTTATCTTAGCCCTTCTCTTAGCCCTTGGAAACGTTTCAGGTGTTAATCACCACATTGTTATATCAAGAAGAAGCGTGGTCTGATTTTTAATAGGTTTATCTGGTACCATGCATCATTTGTATAATTCGTTGACGTATCAGAAGGAATAGCATTAAAAGCAGCGCTAGGAGTAGTGTTTGTAAAAGACAACTGTATGTCGTATTGTTGCAAGACATCAAAGCCAAAGAGTCTTTGTTTATTTATGCTGTGCTTTAACTGAAACTGAAACCTCCTTTTACCACAGACATTCTATGCAGATGGGTACAACCTGCTCGCGTCTCATTAAAGTTGGTCACACAGATAAGAAATTAGGGATATGGTAAAATTATAGACAGGAGGATTTGCGTTACATTTAAATAGCTACACTGAGGATTTGCGTCTTGCAAGGCACACGGTTTTTTTTTTAAGTTATATAATGATTTAACCCAATGAACAATAACCACAAACGTATCAGATACTTAATATCTTTTCGTGTAAGAGAATATTAAATATCTACACACACTTAAATGAATATATAAAGTGTGTAAATGTGTGTAACATGTCTTGAATGTTTCCCTTTTAAATGTTGTGCTTACAAGAAGGCTTAGCTAAAAATGTTGAAAACAGCTGCATTTAATTAAATTGATTTACTGCAATGTGTTTTCAGTAAAGGGTTTAATGACATTGAAGTTTGTCTTGTACTAATTTGGACTTTTGAATTGCGCATTTTATGAGAATTTTTTTAACATGGGACATTTAATGTGGAAACAGAAATATGTATTATATACAGCCATTATCAGTACAATTTTCAAAAGAGGCAAATATAAGAACCAGGTCAATAAAACAGTGTCTAAAATCATTGTAGGTGCATGGGTTTCAGAGAGATAACGTACAATGTGCCATAATCAGTTCGTTTAACTATAAGTTAAAGTTCAAATATTCGCGTACATTAATCGGAGTATAAAATAAAGACCTAGCTCTTATTTCTGAAAATGGTGCTGTATTTGCATTTAATGCATTGTTAATGCTTCATGGAGTACGTATGTCGAGGTAAATACATGTTCTTAATATGCGTTTGACACTACATGCACAGTAGTATAAATGTCTTAACAGATTACAAATACCATACCTTTTTTAATCACAGATTGGTCCAGCAGGCTCATGCCACTGTTATTTGCGTCTTCTACGGTCTGTGAATATCAAAATACTAAGGATCAGTCACATAACTATTCAAATTGACTGGCTATATTAACCAGACCTGTATATAAATCATGTCACTCTGAACTCAAGATCCGGTTATTTCCATTTATATTAACCCAGTAGGGGAGTTTTATCATTTCGACAGTCGACAACGAAATCAAATTCTCCGACATTATATGGTCTTCTAATAAAAACGGGGTGCAAGCATCTGCTGTAGAATTGCATTTCTCCTATCAAGCTGAGCAACGATCTTCAATTGATAATTTCTTTTTAAATAAACCTGCACATTTATTTTCTGTAGAAGCACCTAACATTATCCACTCTTAACCTTATCGATTATTATTATTATTATTATTCGAAACAAATACCGGTGTGATATTTTCAATATCAACATACAGTTTTAGTTCCGGTTATATATTGCTACGATAATTCCAGCTATACATAATTATGTTCTCCATAAAAGAATTAATAATAGTTAATTAGACCTTTAAGCTTAATCAAGTTTTAATTGCGTGAGACGTGTTACATTAACTGGAATGTCTGGGCTTACAGCTGCTTTTTGTAGAAGTAGTGGTAGCAGGAGCAATAGTTGTTATCATTGGTGGTAGTGTTGTCGTCGTTGTTGTATTAGTAATTGCAGCCCAGTACTAACAGGAGCAGAGGGGGATGTTAAATGTTATTTAAGGCCTGTAGACTTTGGTTTTTCTTTCACTCTGCTTGAAATATATGTCAAAAAGTAACTAACACTTGGCTTTTCAACCAGAAATTAAATCTGACTGAAGTTATATATTTTAAGAAAGCATGTTTACACGTTATGTATTGGATGGGTACATGTATGTGTAGTGATGACAGCTTGTGTGAATTGTAACTCTTGAGCAAGAGCTTTCCTCTTGTTATATTGATTCATTCCATATACAGTTACAACAACATCGAGCAAACAAGCGCTTCAAGATCAAGATTTCTTCTATGAACATAAATCAAGATAACATTGTAGAGCTTCAAGACGTAATATGTAATCATCATCATCTGTACTTTCATAATCTGGAAAATCTTTTTTTTTTCTGAGCAAGATTGCGAAAGTCCTATCAAAATGTGATAGAAGCTTTTGTTGTCTTACTAATATATATAAAGGGACAGATACTAAAAAGTATTTACAAAAGGGATTAGCAATAGTACGAGATTTGTTAAGCAATAGGCATCCCAGTATTCGGACTTTGAAACCAGCAATACATCTTAACGGAACACTGTAAGGAATTGTCTGCATGTTAAGTTTTAAATGTTATCAAAAATAATAAGTATAATTTAACAGATATTTAAGCACCTAAGTCTATCTTAAACATAGAGATAAATGGGATTTATAGCGAAGACATGAAATACAGTACTGATTAAAGCAATCAAATCGCCGATCAACGGTGCTTTTTAGAGTAGTTGCAGCTAATAAAAACACTCTTGTCTGATTTTGTATCTAATTATGGTCACCCGCTGTTTTCTGTACAGGATATTCACTCAGCATGTTGGCACTTAATAGTCACAGGGAGAATAGTAAAGATTTAATTAGGACTAAACGCGGAAATAAGCAAAACGTACACTTTTAATTAAAGACTTCTTAGTTAAAGGTGATAAAGGCATCGTGTCGTTTAAAAAGATCAAAGGCCCCAGTAAGCAACGTTTCAAAGTGCGTTTACACAGACTTATTCTGACCTACAATAGAAAAATAGCCTTAATTTTATTAAACCTCAAATTTTACATGCATGCCCTTAGCGGTTTATCTATAACCTTCAGGCATACAAGCATATTTATATCAGTAGTTTGCAGATTCCCACGGGTAGTTAAATTGTAGGAATAATAAAAAACAATGATAGAAAACAGTGTGAATTGAAAAAAACAGAATCTCAATCAAATGTATTGAACACTTTCACAGGTACAGTCTTAAACAACTAGTCCTTAGATCAGTGGTCACTCTTATAGCCATTTTAACAGAACTATTTTTCTTTTGCTTTGTTTCATTTTAGTTGGCTATTCGATATACACTAGAAAGCTTAACAAAAACTAAGGAGGGTGCAGAGAAGTAACATCAAGCAGAAACTGCAAGGGAAGCTCTAATCTAATATTCAGGATAACAAGTATGACGTCAATTGTGCTATAATTCAAATAATAAACCGTAGATATAGGAATAATGTATGGAAAACGCATCCTATGTTTTAAGTGCAATACTTTTCACATTATAAACAGGATTACACTGTACAGCAAAACAATTAAGGGTCAGATTTTAAATTTACTTTAGTGGCTGTTTTAAAACGTGTTTTTTAAGGAAATGTCTAAAAAATAAACTCTTAGTATTATTATTGGTCCTGTGTTGTTGTATAATTTGCTTATTTGTAACGATTATCGTTGGTGTTTTGTTATTTTTTTTAGTGGGAACGAAACATTGCCACGTTGTCATCTTATTTGATTGCTTTCATTTCAAACAATCTTGAGATCCAAGACAGATTTTACACAAACGGTTCAAGGCCTTCTAATTAATTTCCCAGATAGCTAATCGGAAATAGGAGGGATTTGTATTTTGTAATGGGAGATAATTAACGTCTTATTGAAAACATGCCCAGTGAAGGTTAACACACAAAAGTCTGATTTTTTATTAAATAATTGATTGTAACTTTACATCTTATAGCTGTCCCATGTCTTTTTCATTTCTAGTACTATCCAATACCAATCCAAACATATGTTTGTGCTCTATTACTGTATTACACTTCCATTTAGTACCATTTCTACCTCCGTCTTTTTTATTTTATCGTTTACCACATTTCTCTGAATTCATATTCATCTAAAAATTAAATGTTTGAGTGAATAATTCGTTAATTTAAATTATATATTATTAACCGTGGTGAACGGCGTAATATGACTTAAAACACAACACTGCCGTCCTGTTTAAAACTGTCGATTAAAACTGACCTTTTAATTCATAGTTCGCCGCAGTCTTGAGATAAGATCACTTTATTGGCCGTAATAAATGTTTTAAGCAACACGTAATTTTTAATCTGGCTTGGAATGATTATTAATAATACATATAAAAAGAGCGGAAATTCACCTGCACATCTTCCATTCCATGCGCAATGCCATGAAGTGACAAACTGTCCCCCATTCCAGAATCCAGCCCATGGTGCGCTGAATGAAGAAGCACATCTGGCCGTCTCACAGAGGCATAGTCCCGCCTCGGGTCGAGTCCGGAGAGCTGCGGTAAAGAAGCCCGAGGCTGGGACAGTAAAGAGCCAGTTTCAGTTCCAACTTCTTGTCGTTGCCTCTGCCCCCAAGGGTGTTGCTGGGGTTGATGCAGAGGGTTTAAGGAGTAAGGGTCATTAACGTGGGCATACGGATCCTGGCTCTGGTGGTATGGAAGCGGCTGATAAGGTGGAGGAAAGTAAGGCGGCTGGAAGTCCGAAGATGGAGTATGGGAGAGCGGGGGAGCGCTGGAATACGGTCCCTGCGATACTGAACCTAGCTGGGACAGCCTGGAGCTATGGCTCGGGACTCCGTCGTGCCGGTCCTTAAGAAAAAGAAAACAAAAACAAGAAAACAATTTATTTTAAAAACAGCTGCGTTGTACAAAATTGACTGAAAAGAGCGAATAAATGATAAAGCATTAGGCCGTACACACAAAATGGCTTGTCCTTGTTTCAGCTCTGCCTCGGCATAAATTAATCATAAAAAAGTAGAAAATAAATAAAAGAAAACAGACGGGATCTTTTTGATTTTATGATACTCTATTAAAGCAAGTATAGGTTTATTCTATTCTTAAAGTAATCATCTAAAGTATTTCTAAATGAAAAATATTGACAAGAATAGTACAATAATACAATGTTATCCATTCTCAATATAATTTGTTTCCACGCTCGGTTTCCGTTCTATATTATCTGACTATATATTTTGAATACTGATAACGTAGTGTCTGGGTTTAAGTGTGCTGACGGATTTACCTTAACACTCCTTACTGAGGTTGTAATGTCAAGTAAACGAATTAATATATTTAGCCAAAATTGCTATCCAAATCGCCCAAAGCTATAGTTACATTTTCTAATTGTAATTCGTTTTTGGTACAGAAACACTTTCTCCTTCAGCGATTTAGCTAACACCCCCCAAAAAAACATAGGTAAAACGGTATAAGTAAATTCATCTGCTGTAATCTACAATTTATTTTCCAATTTCCATTGCAAAAGCCAGGGCTGCTAAAGAGAAAATGGACCTGTGTAAAAAAAAGCAACGCTCCGACTCACCATGGCTGAATACGTATGGACTAACATCTGGAAGAAAGTCTGTTCACAGCAAAAAACAATAAAATTATGAAGAAATCAAGAGCGACGAGCAGTAGAAAAAGCAGCCTGAGGTATTTCCAAGACTATCCATCAACGGTTTCTCCAAAACGAATGGAAATGTTTATATATATGTGTTTTTATTTTATTTTTCCTGAGCTCCTGTTCCAATCCTCTTCTACCCAAGGCAAGACTCAAACTGTTCTCATGTACCTTCCCTCTGCGTCTCTACACCACCTCATAATAATTGTTATTCATGACTATTAATATTACAGGAATACTTAAAGGGAGAATGGAGGACAAATGGAGCGTGAAGCTGGAGTCAGCTCTGGCGCTCCCCTACTATTGTAAATGACGTTCATTCAGCTGAGAATTACTAGATGTAATCAGACAAGGGGGCTGGCAAAGGCAGACTTTCCGCAAAAGTTTAGTAAGCGAGTGTCAACAAGACAGCTAATGCAACCAGTACGGTTCCTTTATAATCTATAAAATCTTTTGCTGGGATTAACTGGCCAGCGCTGTTCCAACCAATTATAAAAAGGTTATATTTCTACACCTGGTCTGTCTATGCGTGGTTTGTATGTATGACATACTGATTCAATTTTGAATATTTAAAGGGTATATAGGCCTCTATATGTATGTGAATGCAATTGCATGAATATACTTAATTGTTCATACAACAGACACTTTAACCTTCACGAAATTTAAAGTTTCAATCGATTTCAAATTAAAACAATAAACATTTAATATAATAAGTGTTCTACTCATGTCTCTAGTTTTGGTCATACGTTTTACGTTTATTTTCACGATCATGTGTATCCGTAAAGTATTGGTCCGTCTACATTGCTTTCTTCTATTCATTAGAGTAAACAAAACGTATCGTACCGAAACACTTTAAAGATGCATTAGACAGAAGGTTTCCTCGAAGGGAAGGCTGATTAAGTTTACTGGACAAAAGATAATGAAAGATATGCTATTGTTAGAAGCTTTTGCAAGTTTCATAGACCATATCTGCCTAGTTTTACTCTGTGGTCGAACATATAATTATCCCAGAGGTGTCTTTCACTGCTGTTTCAATTACTTGCGTAAATTACATATTTCCAGACTTCGGTGTTTAAAAATCGGGATCACTGCAATTTATAAACACACGTTCACAATTTAATATTCCTCTCTTACGGTTTGTTCTGCACGATTTTGTACGCTACGCAGGAAATGTTGAGGTTGACGCTTTGCAGAATGTGCCGGATTTCGCCAGCTTGCAGTTGATAATTAGCCTGACGACGGCTGTGAGAGCTAAGACATTTGTGGTTATCTGGAGGGCGGCTACCCGCCGGGCTGAACTAAAGAGCCCATAAAGACACACACTGACTTTCATTCAGTAGCTGTTTACACTCCCACATAAGCCCGTTTCTAAAGTCTTTGTGTATTTTATCCCATTCATTTAAATCTCGAATACCTCCGATGGCACAGTTTAACATTTGCGAACGCGTGGCATTTCCTTTTCTCTCTCCCTGTCAGCTGGCTTTTATTTTTGACTACTTACTAAATGTTGCATGTTCATGATATTTCACGTCCGTTTATAATTTTGCACCACTTGAATTGCAAACTTTCGTTTATTACTATTAATTTTAGACAATTCCAATTATTCTTATGTAAAGTATGTAATGGACTTCTTCTCAGTTTGCGACAATTTTCTGGTTCGAGCACTTTGCAATATTCCCTTTTCTATTCAATCGACGGTTAAAAAAAACTGAGAGTTTAGGTACAGTTTCTAAAACCAATTGCGTTATTGTTGCGTGTCCTAAACATTATCTCACTCCCAGAATTATGAAGTCCTTAGTCTTCTGATCTTTTTTAGGCCAAAGAACAAATACCACTCAATAGCAGTTTTGAGTCGAACATCGTATTATACTTTACAGACTATACAGAAAATCACACATAGAATGGCAATAAAATATACTTTTGAGCATTATTTTAAACAGTAGCCCAGTTATGAAAATAAAACGTCTGCGCCCCCTTTTCCACACAAAAAATATGCTGTCTATAAATCTGCTTTTACCTGTCTTATACAAAAGTTGATTCAACTCACTTATCAATCTTTAACGGAGTTACCTTTTAGAAGAATGATGGCACGAGTTTTTAACCAAGGAAGCTTTTGAAACGTGCAAAAATGACAATCATAATAATACGTTTCGATTGCTTGTCAGAAATGTTAATATTTTGCAATTAGGCCTATTCGATGTCCACTATGTGATGATCAGGAACAGACCATTCCTAACGACCGAAGCTGTTCCGTTGTTGAATGTCTTACCATCCCTATTTTGTGAGTTTATATTTTTGGATCAAGCATATCCAAAATGAATAAAACTCTTCAAATTATTTTCAGCACTCCTAAAAATCAATACTAATGACACTTTCATTCTAATTACGAGTTTGTGATAAGTATTACTCCTCTCTCACTCAGTAAAATTAAATTAATAATAAAACATTAACAGCAATGATGAAAATACAAAAGCAAAAAAGGAACCCCTCCGCGTTATTTGAAATAATTGTCATGAACATTACCTCATAAATATCTTCATACTTGACATTTTCTACTAGTTTCCAGAGCATGTTTGCAGACTGATCTCTGTTAACTGAGTGCATTCATGTGAGGAGCAGATGCCTGAATTCTTAGTACCCCTTTCTCAATCTCTCTCTCGCTCGCTCTCTCTCACCCCCCTCCCTCCCCCTTCAGACATACACATACAAAAACACCCCCACCACCACCTTTGGTCTAATGACCCGTATATGACTGAAATAGAGGGGATATCTACCAAACTGAAGTATCCAAAATTCTTGTTAATAAGAAAAATCAATGGGCACCTCCTGTCTATTGTTCCGTTGACACCACATCAAGAAAAAGAAAAGCGAAGCGTTAAAAACCTTAACTTTCGTAAAAAAAACCAGGGCTTTCATAATACGTTTTTATGGGACTCTATATGATTATTTTAAGGTTTATACTGTACCATGAAAACAACAGTAGTAATACCAAAAATAGTGTTTCTCTGAATGGGGTCACTGATAAACAGCAAGCAATTGAGAATTTACGCCTTCTATGAAACATCCAGCGGTACATAGAAAATCATTTTAATGGTGATTCCGGCAAATTTAAAAGAGAAAATATTGTTCTTCCACACATTTATGTTTTTATGAACATGCTAAACTGAAATTAATGTTTTCATTATTTATCCGCTATAACTATAGGTAATGACCCATTCTATTTCCTTCATATTGTATTTCTGAAATTTGTCCTAAAATTATTTAAAAATCATTTTTCAAGCTCTAGGTATATATAGATTAAAGATCTAAATTACTGACAATCACAACAACAATAACATCGTTATTAGACACAGCATTAATAATATCTTCGGTGTGGAACGTCTGATTATATATTGTTTCTCAATGCAAAAGAAAAAAGAAAATATATTTAAAATATAATATATGAAGTTTAATTTAAAAAAATGCAGTTGTTTTTCAAATAAGGTGTCATGGAAGTGTTCGCGTAAGAAGCCTTAATTATACTGTATACGCGGTATTTCAACAGTATATAATAGTGTTCTGTAGTACACTGATTATACTTGCAGAACGAAAGTCTCACCTCCTTATTGGTGAGTCAAATAGAAAAAGAGAAAAAAAAACTTTAAACAACATATAGCACATTAAAGAAATATATAGAACCTTACATGATATTTGACTATTTTAGTATCTTTCACATTTGTTTCAGTACAGCTTACCGAGTTTGTAAACGGCCGCACGAATTTCAACATTCTTTAGCCTAACAGGTAAGTTATATCTATTTATACTATTTATTATTGTTTAAGCTCTTGTGTCATTGGAAAGGGAAACTATTTGAAATTACATTGTATTTTATTTAAATAATATTCGAATTTTTTGGCATCACTCACGTTCGCTTTTGCTGTTTAGTGTTCTTTTTATTTTGAATCGGAAGCCGATATTTCTGAATTTGGTTTGTTCTTAGAATTTTTGTCTTTTGTAGTGAAAGGGCAAATAGTTAATATTTAAGGAAAGCATGTTCCCAACTAATTTATCATCTGAAGTCTCTCGAATCCTACAAATTAATAGCTCGATTAAAAAAAAAACTCCATCTCCAATTTTTATCGAGCAAGCCTCATAACTGTCACTTGTTTCCACGGGACGGGAAAGCGGCATCAGTGAATTGTGACTCCAGATATACGTGTGTTTATATCGCCCCCTACTGGGGACTGAGCTTCCCAAGTTTATTTGGTGCGTTTCTCATTTTTCATATATCATTGAAGATAGGACATAAAACATTACTGATGAAAGGGAAAAGACTGTCATATTTCAAAGGTTGTAATATATCATGGGTAGCCAACACCGGTTCTGAGGAGCCACAATCAAGCAAGTTTAATGGGTCACCACTGAATCATCAATTCCCGAGCACCCGGAACAACTTTATTTTGTCCATTGAAGCATGTGATGTACTCAGTTAATTGCTCAGACATCACTTGAAATAAAAATTAACAACACCATATACAGTAACTCTCAAGGACAACAAGAGGCCTTTCCTTGCATCAGTGAGCCAACTATCTTCTTACAATTGTTCAAAACTCACATGTAAGGCCTACTGGACTATGGCTCTCCATCATCAGAGTTGTCCAAACTTGTATTGAAAGCAGCTGAAAGCAATACAAGTAATTCTCCTATATGTGTCATACTTGTGCACTGTCTAGTGTCATTCCATTACTAACATGGTCCTGATATACATTGTGTCAATAATTGTTTAACTCAGAGTTCATCTGAATAATTAGCTTGCAAACAACAGTTAAATGATGCAAAATGCATGATCTTATTTTAAGTCATTAATGATTTAATCATTGACCAAAAACATTCTAACAAATGTGTTTTTAAATACTAACTGTAAACAGACATTAAAACAATGGACATTAAAACCAGGTAATAGCATAAAAGAGAACAATAATAGAGTAATAGAGGATAGCGGTGGTGTCATTCCTCATCTTCTCTGAGCTGAAAGTCCAATAAATTCTCTTAGGATAAATATTAAAGTGGGTCCAGAACACATGAAAACTTAGATCCAACTGCTAATTAAAGAAATTATAAACTATGTGCTTGTTGACTTGTTGTTTTCTCTTTGACAGGTTTCTCCCTTTGACATTTTGATGGCAAAGGCCATTAAGAATTGGGATACAATTCGCATTTGGCAGGTATGCCAAATTGTGATTTTTTTTTTCAGAATCCTGCTACATGTACAATCCACGCGTGTTGACGCACTGTGCATTATTCAAATGTGGAACTGAAGTGCCTTGTAGTTTTT